AGGAAAAAAAGAAAAGAAAAAAAAAAAAACAAACAAACATGTTACACAAAGAAAGAAAGAAAGAAAGAAAGAGAAAGAAAGAGAAAGAAAGAAAGAGACAGACAGACAGACACACAGACAGACAGACAGACAAACAAACAGACGGACAGACAAACAGATAAACAGACTGACTGACTGACTGACTGACTGACTGACCAGACCAGAGATGGTTAACATATGCATATATTTTCAGGTCCCTATTCCCTTCTATGGGGTCTCAGCAAACTCCTTAATCTTGCCTTTTTGAAGGCACATGAGGTTACTACATCAGTTTCAGCCAAGTCAGGTTACTACACCAATTTCAGATTGCCTTTAGATTGCCTTTGTGTCCGTACATGAGGTTGTCTGAACGGCCTTCAGGCGGTTCAATCACTTCAGGTTAGTACACTAATTTCAGATTGTCTTTGTGTCCATACATGAGGTTGTCTGAACGACCTTAAGGCGGTTCAATCACTTCAGGTTAGTACACAAATTTCAGATTGCCTTTGTGTCCATACATGAGGTAGTCTGAACTACCTTCAGGCGGTTCAGTCACTTCAGGTTCCTACAACAGTTTCAGATTGCCTTTGTGCCCATACATGAGGTTGTCTGAACCGCATTCAGGCGGTTCAATCACTTCAGGTTACTACACCAATTTCAGATTGCCTTTAGATTGCCTTTGTGTCCATACATGAGGTTGTTTGAACAGTCTTCAGGCGGTTCAATCACTTCATGTTAGTACACTAATTTCAGATTGCCTTTAGATTGCCTTTGAGTCCGTACATGAGGTTGTCTGAACCGCATTCAGGCGGTTCAGTCACTTCAGGTTACTACACCAATTTCAGATTGCCTTTGTGTTCATACATAAGGTTGTCTAAACCGCTTTCAGGCGGTTCAATCACTTCAGGTTACTACACCAATTTCAGATTGTCTTTGTGTCCATACATGAGGTTGTCTAAACGGCCTTCAGGCGGTTCAATCACTTCAGGTTAGTACACAAATTTCAGATTGCCTTTTGTGTCCATACATGAGGTTGTCTGAACTACCTTCAGGCGGTTCAGTCACTTCAGGTTACTACAACAGTTTCAGATTGCCTTTGGGTCCGTACATGAGGTTGTCTGAACCGCATTCAGGCGGTTCAGTCACTTCAGGTTACTACAGCAGTTTCAGATTGCTTTTGTGTCCATACATAAGGTTATCTGAACCGCCTTCAGGCGGTTCAGTCACTTCAGGTTACTACACCAATTTCAGATTGCCTTTGTGTCCATACATAAGGTTGTCTGAACCACTTTCAGGCGGTTCAGCCACTTCAGGTTACTTCACCAATTTCAAATTGCCTTTGTGTCGATACATGAGGTTGTCTGGACGGCCTTCAGGCAGTTCAATCACTTCAGGTTAGTACACAAATTTCAGATTGGCTTTGTGTCCATACATGAGGTTGTATGAACTACCTTCAGGTAGTTCAGTCACTTCAGGTTACTACAACAGTTTCAGATTGCCTTGAGGTTGTCTGAACCGCATTCAGGCGTTTCAGTCACTTCAGGTTAATACAGCAGTTTCAGATTGCCTTTGTGTCCATACATAAGGTTGTCTGAACCGCCTTCAGGCGGTTCAGTCACTTCAGGTTACTACACCAATTTTAGATTGCCTTTGTGTCCATACATAAGGTTGTTTGAACCGCTTTCACGCGGTTCAGCCACTTCAGATTACTTCAACAGTTTCAGATTGCCTTTGTGTCCATACATGAGGTTTTCTGAACCGCATTCAGGCGGTTCAATCACTTCAGGTTACTACACCAATTCCAGATTGCGTTTGTGTCCATACATAAGGTTGCCAGGCGGTTCAGCCACTTCACGTTACTTCAACATTTTCAGATTGCCTTTGTGTCTATACATAAGGTTGTCTGAACCGCCTTCAGGCGATTCAGTCACTTCAGGTTACTACACCAATTTCAGATTGCCTTTGTGTCCATACATAAGGTTGTCTGAACCGCTTTCAGGCGGTTCAGCCACTTCAGGTTACTTCAACAGTTTCAGATTGCCTTTGTGTCCATAC